GCAATTCTGCTTCTGTTATTTCCCCCTTCCTTCCCTGCATAATCACCGCAATAATGTATTTTTGCTTAAAGCTACAAAGGCCAGAATAGCACCACTGAGTCTTAAACTGCACGGCCATCCTTTATAATAAAGGTAAAGGTACCCCTGCCCGTACGGGCCAGTTGTGTCCGACTCTAGGGTTGTGCACTCATCTCACTTAAGAGGCCAGGAGCCAGCGCTGTCCGGAGACACTTCCGGGTCACGTGGCCAGCGTGACGAAGCTGCTCTGGCGAGCCAGCACCAGCGCAGCACACAGAAACGCCGTTTACCTTCCCGCTATAAAGCGGTCCCTATTTATCTACTTGCACTTAAGGGTGCTTTCAAACTGCTAGGTGGGCAGGAGCTGGGACCGAAAGACGGGAGATCACCCCGCCGCAGGGATTCGAACCACCGACCGTATGATCGGCAAGTCCTAGGCGCTGAGGTTTTACCCACAGTGCCACCAGCGTCCTTCATCCTTTATAATAGAAATAGCTTAAAAGCTGTTGCCCAGAAGAAAGAAAATATACAAACTACCAGGGATTTATTTATTTCCTTACATTTGTATCCAACCTTTTTCTGTTATGGAACATATATTTGCTTCCCAGGAGGTCTCCCATCTGACCACTGACCAAATCCAGCCTTGCGTATATGCTTTCAGACCCATTTGGAGTAGGAATGTTACCTGCTGTTAAATCAGGGAAAATATTACTACACACCATCCCAATCTCAGAGTGGTGAGAGTGGTCCAGGCATTCCAGGCACTCACCTGGGGTTCGTGTTTCCTTTTGGAAAATGAGGCACAGTGAACACTGTGGTATCTTTATGATATATGGTTTATTTATACATATATACAGGTACGTGGGTGGCGCTGTGGGTTAAACCACAGAGCCTAGGGCTTGCCGATCAGAAGGTTGGTGGTTCAAATCCCCGCGATGGGATGAGCTCCCGTTGCTCAGTCCCAGCTCCTGCCAACCTTGCAGTTCGAAAGCACGTCAAAGTGCAAGTAGATAAATAGGTACCGCTCCGGTGGGAAGGTAAACAGCATTTCCATGTGCTGCTCTGGTTCGTCACATGACCCGGAAGCTGTATGCCGGCTCCCTCGGCCAATAAAGCTAGATGAGCGCCGCAACCCCAGAGTCGGTCACGACTGGACCCAATGGTCAGGGGTCCCTTTACCCTTTACCTTTAAACATATATACAACCTGAGCTTACTATGGAGGGGTTCACAGCATCAACACTCCAAAAGTGTCTTCTTTCTCCTATAGCCACAGCCTTGGACTCAAACATAAAACAGCTGTGGCTTTTCCTCTTTCTTTCCATCTTCTCTAGCTTTTCAGCTGGCTGCCTTTCTCCTCTGTGACATCACTCCTACACCTCTACTCTAAACTCTGGCTTTATCTGTTGAGGGAGGGAGGTCCCCCACCGATTGGCTGCCTCTTACAAGCTCTTTGATGCTTAGTTCTCTGAATGGCCCATCATCTAGAGGGGCTGAATCCAGAGTAGTCCAATACTTGGCTTAACACCCAAACCTTAATGAAATTCTGACACTTACTGGTTCCAGGAATTTAGAGGAGTCTGGCACCCAAAACTTATTAACAGTATATTGCAGGATGATGTGGTGTTGATATCATGCCGGACAGTCCTTATACTATCAAAATCCAGGCACTCACTGTTGTTTAATTTCTGGCAAAGATCACATAACTCTGTTGTGCCTTGGTATCCAAACGGCTCAAGGCAAAATATGGAACACAAACGTCTGTGGTGCATCAACACACAATCAATCTGGCTTTTTGTTGATTCAGCCCAAGGCTACATTTCTGTAGGAACTCACTAGCCATTATATCATTGCTGATTTCAATAGTACTACGGTACTCTGATATGGATTCCCACAAGATCATGGCTATGTGTGAGAGAGAACAAATGTGCGCACACATGCACACACACCAAAACAGAGAGAGAGAATATGCTGTCATGCCCAGCACTGCAGCTCCACTGGACAAAATAGAGCCTCCTCTGCCTTTCTGTTCCCCTCCAGTCCTCCCCTCAAAATCCGTTCCTCATCCCAGAGCAGATTTGGGTGGTACATGGGGGAAGCAGCACTATGTGCATGGAAGATTGTATACAAGCCTGCTGTTTTACAACAGTGGCCAACCTGCTGTCTCTAGGAAGTCTACAAGGAGATGAAGGCAAAAATTCTTAATCTGGTCCATTCTAAGAAAGCAAGATGAAGAGAGCTCACAGATGCAGTGATAATGTTTTTCTTGGCCTCTGGGAACCTCTGACATGTTATTTCATGTCCTCAATGCATTGGTGCCATTTCTTTTCCCCATTGCAATGGTCGAAGCACTGAAGGGGAAGTGAAAATGCAAGAACACACAGAAGTTGTTCAGGCAGGCAATTTAGCTAGTCATTTTGTCTCTTATGTGCTTACTGTAAGTGCTAAACTACCTTGATTTATACAGGTAGCTGTTATTGCCCAAACTGTCAAGTAAAATTGATTTAATTTTTTTGCATAGCTTCTGTTGATGGTTTACTTTAAAAAAAATTAAAAAGAGTACAATACATATATTTGTATTGTGCAAATTTACTATTGCATTTACTTTAGACTACTTTTTAAATTGGTGTGTTCAGAATCATGACACTAGTGTCTTAAGTCAGAGGTGATTTAACTCCATGTTTAGGCTGAGTGAAATCTTGGTTGATGATTTAATTGACATCATATACAGAATCATAGCTTAGGAGCCAAACCATTATTAAATAAATGAGAACATAAAAAAATTAGAAGCTTGTTCTGTGTCTGCAACTACCAAGATGTATAAACAACGGAACAGCCTGCAAGGCTTTTCAGATATTTCTTTTCAATTTTAACACACAGATCAGCAAATGCAAACACATTTTAAGGCACAAAATTTTTTCGTCTTACACAGCTTGGTGTTTCTCTGAGTTTAGCTCATCACCGTTCCTCCTTAGTAGCAGCAGATCTCAAACCAACACTTCCAGAATATTCTTTATGCCTGAAATCCTTTATCTGAGCATGCCTAAAAGGAATCTTTTATACATGCAAACTGTTACTCTCTACTGAACACTATGTAGTTCCCAGAATCAACAGCAAACCTGACACCTGTATCTATCTTGTGGAAATTCCTCACCACTGCAATGCTTGCGAGTGAGAAAAGCCATACAAAATGCTCCCTTCTTTTCTAAAAGATATTACTATTGCTCAATAAATTGTGATCCACTGCAATCCTAGCTTTTGATTAGTTGCCAGCTTGAGGTCTAGATTTGATTTAAACCCTCTGCACTTGCATGTATATTGTCATTTTGATGTGTAGACCAACATAGCCAACAGACACACCCACTGACATTCTTATCATTGTAGCCTCCTCAATCGCTAAGGAGCAACACAGGCATAAGAAGCTGTAGCAACTGTACTTGCATCTTCTGTTTGTGCTGCAAGACATGCTTATCACATATATTGATTTCACACTGGAGTAGCTGAATTCACACCCCATGTGTACTACGTCTGCATATTGAGATGTGCTCATTCATGTTCATGATTTGGCAAGGATCTTCGAATCCTAGTTAGTGATAACAGGCCATCAAAATGCAGGTTTTATTATAATACTTGAGGTTACAGATCAAAGCCATAAATAATTCCAGTGTCCTCCATGGTGCTGATGAGCAAGTTAAAAACACACTTGCGGTTTGTGATGGAAGCAACCTATCTATCAGCTTGTTATAGCAGTAATATGATCACTGACAAATAGGCTGGTCTGTTTTAATAATAATATTGTGCTTTAATCCTGGAAGAAAAAAGGGGTTGGGCTGCAATCCTAAACCTATTTACCTGGGAGTTAGTGCTACTGAATGCAGTGGGACTTTCCTCTTGCGCTAACATGGTTAGAATTGTAGCCTTAATAGTACTGAATTAACCAGTTTAATATGTTTTATATCTTTCTATTTTTTGAATTTTGCACCAGCGGCTTAACATTCTCCCTCTCTTTTCATTACAATGTAACCTTTAAAAAAAACACCTCACTAGGTGACAACATTCTTATTAGTCATCCTCCTCCAGTTCATTTCAATTCTTAATTGAGTAATTTTATCCCCTTGTAAACATTTAACCATTATTAGTTTAAAGCCGCAAGTCTTTTCCTTGGCTTAACAAAGAAAAGGACAATATATGTAAGATAAAAAGTCTGAACAGACTTAGGGGGAAATGTGTGCAGTGAAACAAACTGCAAAAAAGTTATGGAATACCCCTTTTCTTTAGTTAGTGCTGGATAGTCATGGTTTGTGGGTTTTATATTTTATTACTTGGAGGCCTTATCTGTCTCATTGCTCAACACCTTGCAGAATAATGCGGAGAATAGCGATACAAACCTAATTATAACCTCAAAATTTAACACCATAGAAAAAAGTTCAATAATGCCAGTTGATGTAACTATAGCAAGCATCCAGCCAGACCTGAGATTTCAGAATGGGCTCCCCCCGCCCCCTGAAAACTAGAGAGTTCTGGGTGGATGAAAAAACCCTAATTTCCTTGGCGGGGAGCTGCTAAGAATATAGTTGTATCCAATGTTGGTCCTACTTAAGAGTAGACCCATTGGGCCCATTAATTTCAATTGGTCTACTCTGAGTAGGACCATCACTTGTTACCATGGACAGCAGCCCCCCAAATCAAGTAAATTTTTTAAAAAAACACTTAACTAACCAACTGCATCACAGATAACTCGGTTCTGCTGCCCCTAACATAAATCTTGCCTACGTCCATGCTGGCTACCACCCATGATTCACAAGCGTAGTCAGTAATGCCATCGCCAGAGGGTAACTGCATGTCTTTGTCATCAGTGCAAGCATCACTATATGAAAACTGAACTTGGTCAATGTTGAAATTTGCATCCAGGCTTTTAAACTGCAGTCTGAAATACCGTGGTCTGTGCACCTTGAGATACATCACAACACCTTACTCGTATAAATCCACATTAGGTATTTTTATTTACATCCATTTTTTGCCATGCCTCAAGCAGTCCACGTTATTATCTCCTCCCTCACCACCCGCCTTCCGACAATGTTTCCTCTGGCTTGCTTTAAGAAAAATCATATTTATATGTGGCAGGATTTTCCCCGGGGGCAAATGAAAACAGGATGCCATTATGCAGTGCGTTGGGTTCACAAGACCCTTGTATATCACAACAAAGCTCATATCAGACATTCTCTCTCTCCCCCCCCCCCCAATTTCCTAAGTCTGAGGATTAAACAGCTTGCGTTTTCCACGGGCTCCTCGCTTCTCTCAGCGACCTGTCGTAAGGTAGAGAGGCGAAAAAAGAATTCTTCAGCTGGCAGTTGATGAAAAGTACAATGATGGTCACCGCCAGGAGCAGGAAGAAGAACAGGACGATGTAAGTCACCAGATCCGGCTTATTGATCTCGCCTTCTTTTAACGCCCGGGCGGTCGACATGTAAAGAGCCGACGAGCTGACAGGTCTCTGGGTGCTCCCGACGTAGGGCGTGTTGGTCTGCATGAGGAGGTGCGGGTCAGTCACGCTGGTGGCATTGAGAAATTGCCCATACATTGTCCTGTTCAGATCTCTTCCTTAGGGCTCATCTGGGAAGTCACTGGGTGGGCTTTTCGGGTTTGCTTTTTAAGCCAGGCAGCCACTTTCTGTCCTGGGAAAAGGGTCGGGTTACGGTATTTCCTTTTAAAAAACTCCTTGAAGATCGCATAAGACAAGAACCAGGCTCAAATCTGAGGTCGCCTCCCAATCTTCTTGCTGCCCTTCCTTCTCTGCGCGTCTCGTGGGGACCTGTCGCGTGGAGAGGAGGAAGTTGGCAACTCCAGCAGGAAAAGCCCGACCAGCCCGGGGAAGCCAAGACCCAAGAAGCCGCGCTTAGGCAAACAGAGGCAGGCGATCACTCACTTGCTCCCAAGGGAAGTCGTCCTAGATCCCCGCAGGGCTTTCCAAGGAGAGCTGCCCCCAAGATCAAGACAAATCCACGTCCGCCAGAAGAAGCAACTTCTTCCTTGACATCTTTTGGGGGGTCCGGCGACGGTTCCCTTCCTTGCTGTGGAGCGAGGGCTTCTCTGGAGCATCGGTTGGCTTCTGGGCGAACCCTAAGCCGAAGGTGTCTTCTTTTTTGGGGGGAGGGGGGTGCTGGTGGAAGGAAAGTACAAATCGGGAACTTCTGACTCCTCCGCGAAGGAAGCCTTTCCCTCTGGTCCTCCTGCTAAGCTGCGGTGAGGAAACGGAGCCCCAGACGGATTTCCAGACGTGACTTTCTCTCCCCCGTCTCTCCGCCGAGAATGGACAGCGGCAGCGCCGCTGGGGGAAAGAACTGCACGCCCGCGTCGCCTCTTTCCGGGGTCTGTGATGTTTTGCAGGTAGGCTCGACGTTACAAAGGCAAGAAGAAACAGGTCCGCGCCATCAGGCTTTGGAGAGGCTGCTTTGGGGACGAGAGAGAAGATAAGGAGACAAACGAATCACTCAAGAAACCTCCACACGTACAGAAGAATCCAGGCAACTCGGCGTGGTGGGAGATTTTCCTTCTCTGCCCTCGACTTTCTGCTCTTGCGCAAGGGACTCTCGGCGGGACGCAAGACGCGTCTCTCTTCCCTGGGGAGTCCCGGCCATGAGCGCGCTCATGCTGCGTCGTCAGATTGGCTTGTCGGAGGGGAATCAGCCCCTGGCGCTCCACCAGCCTCTCTCCCGCGCTCCGCCTCACGTCGAGCCATCCCATAAGCAGCTCTAAGCCTTCCTTGGAACGCATCGCACAACTTCGAGCACATGAAAGGGGGCGCGGCACCGTTAGAACCCCAAGGCGGGTTACAACAATGTGGACAATAATAATAATAATGCGAGATTATAATCAGTTGAAGCCATTTCCAATCCAAGGAATTGATAGTGGCTCCTAATTAGGGAGCTAGGAGAGTAGAGTTCGAATCGCCACTCGCCCAGGAAGCTCGCTGGGTGACCTTGGGCCAGTCACTGGCTCTCAGCCTAAGGGTTGTTGTGGGGATTAAATGGAGGGGGGGCAGGTTTGCCTCCTTGAGCTCCTTGGAAGGAAAATGTGGGATATATAAATGCAATTGCGCAAGGGACACACACACACACACACAGAGAGAGAGAGAGAGAGAGAGAGATTACCACTAAAGCTAAACAACAAAGGTGTCCTGTGCACCTCTATGGGAACTCTGTTGCTTAGGGAGGAAGAAGAAGAAGAAGAAGAGTTTGGATTTGATATCCCGCCTTTCACTCCCCTTCAGGAGTCTCAAAGCGGCTAACAATCTCCTTTTCCCTTCCTCCCCCACAACAAACACTCTGTGAGGTGAGTGGGGCTGAGAGACTTCAAAGAAGTGTGACTGGCCCAAGGTCACCCAGCAGCTGCATGTGGAGGAGCGGAGACGTGAACCCGGTTACCCAGATTACGTGACTACCGCTCTTAACCACTACACCACACTGGGAGGACACAGAAGCCCCGCCCTCCATGCTAAAACACTAAGAAAATGCATTGGGAAGAAGGCTTAACAAACTGCACCAAAGTTGCCCTACCAGCCAGGATAATAAAAAGGTAAAGGGACCCCTGACCTTTAGGTCCAGTCGTGACTGACTCTGGGGTTGCAGCGCTCATCTCACTTTATTGGCCGAGGGAGCCGGTGTACAGCTTCCGGGTCATGTGGCCAGCATGACGAACCAGAGCAGCGCACGGAAACGCCGTTTACTTTCCCGCCAGAGCGGTACTTATTTATCTACTTGCACTTTGTGCTTTCAAACTGCTAGGTGGGCAGGAGCAGGGACCGAGCAATGGGAGCTCACCCCGTTGCGGGGATTCAAACCGCCGACCTTCTGATTGACAAGCCCTAGGCTCTGTGGTTTAACCCACAGCACCACCCGCGTCCCCTAGCCAGGATAATACCCTACTCCAAAGCCATGAATTGCCACTGAAGTGCTCTGCATCTTTGCTCTTCTCTGCACAGCTCAAAGCACTTTGACACACCTTCACTCAGTTGCAGCCCAATGCACCCTCTAAGGCCTTTATCCACACAGTATATTTAGACTGGGGCTTGCCTCGTGGCCTTCCAGAAAGGTCAGAAGGGCTCTGCAACTTCAGCCAGGGTATATCTGGACTCCTAAACCACAAACTAAAGCCGATTAAATTTAAAGGAGAGTGTGGAATAGAGGCTAAGTGACTGAGCTATGAACAAGGAAATCCCCAAAGGCCTGCATTGTGGAGAAAGAGACAGTTCTGGCCACAGGAGGATGGGTAATGGGTGGAGGGACATGAGAAAGGAGAGCAGCTAGAGCAGGGTTGCCAACCTTTTTGTGCCAGTCTGCACATTTGGAAATTTGGAGGAAGCGCCGTGGGTGCCAGTCACAAAACGATCACCCGGGAGACATGACACAAGACAAAATGGCTGCCGCATCTGAAAAGAGCAGGAAAAAAGAGATGGCTACAATGTGATGTGGGCATATCCACCCAGGCCCCAAACAATGGGGGAAAGGTACCTACAACGCTTGGTCTCTTTGCATCTCTTCAGAATGGATGGGAGGGTGGATGTACAATCCTGGCAGCCACTGAAATGTGGGCATGGTTCAATGTTTGAGAGGTCTTGTCAGTGCAAACAGAGCAGGAAGAGCAAGAACTTTCTCTTGCATCGTGGGGTTTTCAGGTATTATTTCTGGAGACCTTTTGTGGGTGCCATAGGAGCTGTTGGACATGCTGGTTCCCCCAGCTGCCATGTTGGTGACTGCAGAGCTAGAGCTGAATCCTACCAGTGTCTAAGTTTTCAGACTACATAGAACTCTTCATCAGATTTAACCTTTTGTGCGCTTCTTCCCCAAGTGGGGAGAAGAAGACTTTACCAATAGGAAAACCTAATCTTGGTATTATGTATACATAAAAAGAGAAGAACATTGTTCTACTACTCACTAATGTGTCACTATACCTGCTTTCTTGCCTGCATACTTTACAGTAGAAAAAAAGGTAAAGAACCAGAACTGGAAGATGTCTTTTAGGAGAATCCTAGCCCTATCCCCATAATAACACTAGAAAATATGCTACTGTGAGAAAGCCAGAGGAATATATCCCTTGCGATCCTGCCAGTAAATCTGTCGTGCACATATGCATATAGCAAAAAGCTAGTCGTTCTGCCCTTTGCTAGCAAACCTTGTATTAAAGCTCTGAAGTCCTTCGCTTGACCTACAGCTATGCCAATTTAGACAAACGCATATAAAGCCATAAAATGGAACTTGTTCATTGTTGTGGTTTAGGCACCAAACTTCATTCTGGGATAAAAATCAGAGTAGTGAATTACAACGAACCTGTCTGAACAGTGTATACAAAGCATATTAATCTCTTTCTGACATGTTCTTGCCACCTACCTATTTATGATATACAAGCTGATGAGAAGCCTTTAACTATGCCAGACATAACTTGGGGTAATGCCAATAAATTGCCAGCTTAATTTCAGAAAGCTTAATTGACCATAAAAAAATCTAAATGAAAAGGAGTTCATCTTTTTTTAAAAAACAACAACAACAGAAACAGAAACAAAACACCAGGAGCTTCTTTTCGGCTTAGAGTAGCTAGTAGGATTTTCCTTGTAGTTTGTTAATGACGATGCTGTAAACCTGTGTGTGTGTGTGAGAAACCCCACCCATTGTGGAATTGGTGATGATGGTGCCCACGTTGGATGTCTTTAAAAAGGGATGATACACTTTCATGGAGGATAAGGCTATAAATGGCTACTAGTCATGATGGCTATAACCAACCCAAGGATGAGAACCTCCTAATACCAGTTTCTAGAGAAGAACCACAGAGATAGCTATTACCTTCATGTCATATTTGAGGCTTTCCAGGGGTGCCTGGTTCAAACAATGTAAGAAATAGGATACTGGATTAGAGAAGCCTTTGGACTGATCCAGCAGGACTTTCCTTATGCTTTTAGCTTGTAAGCATTGCCAGGGATTCAGGACTTAAACCATATCATGGGATGGGGGAATGTAACCCTTCATTCCACAACATGGTCCCGAACAATAAAACTGGCTATAAAATGTACTGGAAAACCTGGGCATATTTTTTTTAATCACCTGACTCCAAAAGTACATCAAAATTGTTAGACGGGCTCCTCAGGGGAGGGAACGCCATGTTCAATGTGCCACAATCAATAAGATCCTCTCTCTCTAGCTGTCCACCAATGAGATTTCACCCTCAGCAGAGTGTCATTACAGCAAAGTGTTGCTTTCTGTTATTTAAGAAGTTTCATCTGTGAAAGAGGTGAGAGATGGGGGGGGGGCAGAAAAAAACGTACATGCTGAGAATGTGACCAGATTGTATGGATAAAGATCTCCTTAGAAATCATTTGAATCTCTTTCATATAGATAATGGGGTAGATATATAAAATGAACTCTGGTAGATATTGGACTCTGAATCTGGTCACTCCCTGGATGGTCTCCACTCAGACATCACCTGAATCTCATCCTAGGAGGGGCTAGGATGGACTTACGAATACCTAGCTCTGTGCTGGATTTAGACCTTAACAAATAAGTCTCTTATACGCTCTCCTTCCAAGGAAATTGGCTTGCAGAATGCTCCCAAGAACATCTTACTGTTCAGGGAAGTGGAAAACACAATGCAGGCTTGCCAATACAGTATGTGTCATCTGCTAAGTTTGTCTTCGGTGGCTGGGTGAACTGCTTAGTTCATTCTGGAGTTAGATGTGATAATTCATGTGAAGGAAGAAAAAAAATATCCCCCGTGATAAGGTTACCACCACATTACTACCTCATAAAAATGCTTGCAAAGCGAGCTCCTTTAAATGGATGAACTCACTTGACTACTCTTCATTGCTTTGCTACTTCTGCTGCTGTGAGGGGAAATATGCAATCTTTGGAAGTACCAGTACAGATTAATAGCTAAGCTGGGAATTGAATGCAGCCATCCATACACACAAGCATTCCTGGAGCAGGTCTGCCTAAGGACTTGTGAGGCCCAAATGCTCCTCTTGCAGACAAGATGCTTCAAGGCGCTATTGATCGAAACCTGCTATTATATATTTTCCCACAGGCTTGCTATTAAAGCTGATGCCTGACACCATGTTTATCAGCCACAGTTTAAACTTTCAGCTGCATACCACACACTTTGGGTTCTTAGAGGAGAGGTCATGCATAAACAAAGCTGGAAGGAGATAAATGGACTTGGCAAGGAGAGGGATTTCTTGTGATGGTTTCATTCTAAGGACTAAGTTTTGATTAAAGTCTTGGCTGAGCCAGACCCATGACTCTCATTTTATGCAAGCTGGCATGAATTTGCAAAATTAGAAGCAAGTGGTTACAGAGAAGGGGCATTGTAGTGCCTGTACGCTCTGGGGCTCCATCTCTGGCCTTTATAGTTAAAATATTTTGGGTGGCAGGAATAAGGCAAGATCTCCACCAAAGACAATTTCAGAGCTGTTACCAAGGTCATCCCAAGTTACTTTGGCACCTGGGGTAGAAAATCCCACAAACACAGAGTCCTGATAGCTGTTGTTATCAGGAAACCAGGAAACAAAAACAGAACAATAACTAATAATTTTCTGACCTTTCATAATGCCCTAAATCAGCTGGCTGAGATGGCTGCTTCACTATGCCAAATGACAGGACAGGCTGACTAGTGGTCTGGGTCACCGTAAGGAAGCTGATACTTGTATCAACTTCCAGAAAACTGTGTTAGACTGGGGAAAGGAAGGAGTTTTCTAAAAGGTGGCTGGCTGCCTCCACGCTTAGAAAGTAGCCATGGACCCCACAGGACTTGCTCAGTGGGACAC